TTGGAACCAGACATCACCAGCAGACATATCTTGCTCATTAGGGTTAGAAAAAATTTATTCCAGGGCTGGAATCAACTGAAAACGCAAACAATCCAAATAAATGTCGCCTTAGACCAGGCGGTATCTGTTTTGGTTTGGGTGAATCGTATATCCACGGAGATTTTTGACTTTTTGGCTTTCAAATATCACTAGAAATGAAAATTTTTCTATGCGCATAAAAAAAACGTGGGCTTAACTTTTGGCGGCACAATATATTAAAAAAATTCGAAAAATGTCATATTTTTCTTCCTATTTAATTATGTATCTTTTCAAGAGTTGATTTTAGGCGAAAATGGAAAAGGAAACAAATGTTTGTAATTAAATTTTTTACAATGACTAGTTACAAATCGAATGAATCATTATTATTATGGTAAAAATCGAAAAAATCGCAAAAATGTGGTTAAAAGCAATACTTTTTAGGGAATTTTTTTGGGGCATTTAAATTGGGTATAGAACCTTTATACTTGGCTCAAGAAAACCTCATGTTATGTCGAAACATCACACCAAATTTCATCAAAATCGGTTCGATAGATTTTGCATAATAATTTTGCAATCCAGATTAAAAAAAAAATTGCAAATTTTCAAAATAAACCAAGGCCCTTAGATACCTAAAAATTTATTCACATATAGAAGGGCTCTCAAGTTTTCAAACATTTTTTGAAAAATTCGAATCCGTCAATTAGGACGGCTCTGGCGCTTGTTTAAACATTGGTCGATTTTCTGTACTTATAAACAATTCCACGATCATCGGATTTATCGCCCCTTGATTTCTTTTTGTGGGGATACCTAAAAAGTAAAATCTATAAAACACAGCCAGCGTCGCTGGAAGATTTGCGTCAAAGAATCGTCGACGAATGCCGTCGAATCACTCCGGAAATGCTTCGGAATGTGCGCGAACATTTCGAACAAAATCTTTATTCTTGTATGGAAGCGGGCGGTCATCAGTTTGAACATTTAATCAACTATGTTGTAAGTAAGCAACTAAACATAATTTAAATTTTAAAATGTAAAAGTATTGGGCGGAACTATAAAATTTAAAGTCTATTGTAAAGAGAATTGTAAGAGCTTTCAAAAAAAAGAAATATTACTCAACCCCCAATGCCATTTAAATATTTTGGGGTGATGCTTACCCTTGCTTGGGGATGAAAGTGGCGGAGTCAAAAATACCAGCAAAGAATGTCCCCCTTTAATCTAAAATCGACGGGTCTGAGCGTTTTTCTACAATCTTGACGCAGTTCCTGAAAATGGCTCTGTTTCGTTTTCATTTGTCCACCCTGTATATATAAATAACAGGCAACCTTTCTTGAATCCAAGTTCACGAAAAAAATTTATAAAAAAAGTTGCCTCAATTCTCTAAGTAATGCGAATAAGAATGAAATCCTTAGTACATATTTGTTCGGTATGCAAAACTGTGATGATTTTTCAGATTTGCCTTGTACTATATCATACGCATTGTCATATTAATGACATTATGTTAGCGAAGCATAAAATACCATATTATCTAATGAAATTTTTAAGATTTTGAATTTGGGATAAGTTGCTAGGAGACTTGAATGAGGATCTACAACAGTAAACTTTCATTTCTGTTAATATAATAAATTTGAATTATTGTGTTTTCTAAACTTCTGCATTAAATGTTAAATTACAGTTAAAAAAATAGACCTAAAAGTCTATTCGAGTGGATAACTGTTAATTTAAAGCTCTTTATAAATACGACAAAATATCTAAAAAGAGGGAAACGTTACTTGCCTCAAAAATACCCAAAATAAAAGAAGACAGCTAAAGCAAAAAACCCCTACCTTGATTTAATTATACGAAAGTTTTATTCGTCTTTTTAGCAATTGTGACTCGTAAATTTAATTGCGTTTTTTTACGAAAGCGACACTCGATTCTTTCCCTTTTTTACGGAATAAATTGAAGCATTTACAAGGCTAGTTATCCCTCCATGGAGCCATGTAAACACAAAAGTTGTCTTTATTAATTCCGGGAACCTCTTAAGGAATCTAAAAATTACACGCTTTTTCTTAATCCTTATTAACTTTTTGTCTGATATATTTTCATGGCAATTTGTGTATCGGTTCCGTCTAACGATCAAGCAATGTAAATTTAATAATCGCCGCGATTCTTCTCCCGTTAAAGCGTGACGTAGCGTAGATGTGTAAAATAAGCGATCCTCTGCCTTTCAAAGCTTAAATGATTAATGCCATCCACTTAATTGCTGCATGAAGATTAATAGGTGCAGGTAGGGGAAACTTACGCACGTACTCTGTAAAAAAATGGGTGTGAGTGACAGCAATAAAGCTTCGTGAGTTAAATTATTGAATACTTTTTCACTCAATATTGGGAATTTTGATCATTTTACTCATTTGTGATTAAATTTAAACTAAAACTGAGTACTTTCACTCAAATAAAAGTACTCCTTTAATAAATTCTTCATGTAAACTCGTATTGTATATTGTCGTATGTATATTAATTTCGAGTAATTTGAACGGCGTCGTGAAGATGGCACCACTTACATATTGCTTCTGTAATCTCAACCAAGTTGATAGGGGCCCGCTAGATGCTATAGAAAAGCGTGATCGCCAGGAGAACAGGCCTTAGCCGGCGGCGGCGGCGGGTCTCAGCTGGCGGGTCTCAAACAGAACAGGAGAAGGCCCCGCGATTAAAACATATCCGTGTGTGGTATCGTTTTCATGGTAATTCGACCCCAGGAATCAATTGGGGAGACTGGCAGTTGAATCCGACCAACCGTTTCGAAGATAAGTCTGCCGTAGCCTAGTGGGAAGGCGAAATCAAGAAAAACCAAAACTGGCAAACCTTTTGGATCCCAAGAGACCGTCCAGACCATGTTTTATCGCTCTATCGGATTTTGCCCGGATCTCTTGGCGAGTCCGGTCGAAATATTTACCAAGTTGTGACTATTATTCCTGTGTGAAGTCTAACTCTCTGGGCATACCGTGTCTTTACTGTAGCCGCCCAAGTAGTGATGTTTCTGCACTATAAACAGAAACTGACGCCCGAGGTAACCGCCGCTCAGGTGTCATAGTGACGGACTAACGAAATAAACAAATTATTCGTCACAATAATTTACAAGTGATTTATTTTTGCACTCAATATTTAGTTATTAAAAACTAAGCCTGAATAAATAATGTATCAATAATAGTTAAATTTAAATCATATTAGAGAAAAAGTCAACTCTTAATTGGTTTTATATACTCAGAATAGAGTCAAAAGTCGCTCAATTGATAGTTAGCAGTAACTCGGATTTGAGTAAAACTCACTCATTTCTGATGCAATAGTTTCACTCAATTGTACTTCATACTAATAGAGTGAAAATTTCACTCAATCGGGTGTGAACAGAAATTGGTACATTATTGAGTAAAATTGAGTGAAAATTAAGTGATTTTTTTTACAGTGTACGTAAGTTTACCTTATCATATATAAATTTACTTTTTTTATACAAAATTTCTTTTTTAAAGTACATTAATCCCTTCCAAAAATACAGGGTCTAACAAAAATGGTGGCAAATTTCTTAGAAGGTAATTAGACAAAATAAAAACATTACTTTCCACAAAATATGTATCAGCACCAGCAACTTATGTTACCTACATTGTAGAGAAGTAAAACTATTTTCTGAAAGAAATGGATAAGTAGTTTTTCAAACTCTTCAAGTATCATAGAAATTGGTATTTACCACCTAAAGAAATGCGCTATGAATGTTTAAAAAATTTAGTCGTTTTAATAAAAATAGGTAAATGTCTGAAAATGAGAAACAAAGAATATAAATTCGATTTGCAAGTGTGCTGTCCCTTTCAAATACTCTTACCAATCCTCGTTAGGGAGAAATAACACCATACGCTTAAATAGGAAATACCTATAAGACGCACAAAATGAGATTCATTTTAGGGCTAAAATACTCTAGTCGAATTAGATCATAAAACCTGAAAACTTATTAAGAAAAATTATTAGTAGGCATTTTATTGCACTTTATAACGGGGGAGGGTATGTAGAATGATAATATCAAAAAAGTAACTCGAAAGAAATGACGCAAGTCCGCGTACGCGCGTGAACGCCGCCCTCGTCGCGCGCGAAATTTTTGAACAGAATATTTGAAACGTTCAAGTAAAAAATCTCGACGAGAGCGACGTTCAGGCGTATGCGCGGGCCCAGCGCTCCTTCTCCCGCGTTTAGACCGTTCATTAACGCTAACTTTTACTGCTGCTAGTGCGTTTATTAAATGAACTATCAATGTAAAATTTTCTGAAAATAAAAGTTTAACCCTTTCTTTAATTGTCTCTAAAGTCCCGTATCGATACGACCAATTACAATTAAAGTTATAAAAATGAGCTATCTTGGGATCAAAGAGGTCTAGGTGATTTCTCTTTTCATAAAAGTTACTGTAAAAATAAGCTCCATTTTTTACGAGGAAGTCAGATGTCGCCTATGGAATGAGACCAAAAACCTACGAAAACCAGGTTCGGGCAAATATATTGAATAGAAAAATGTAGTTTCAATATAAATAGTATAGAAGATGTAGTATAGAAAAAGTAATAATTTATTTTGTACCTTCTCAACTACATCTATACAACTAGTATAAATAGGACTCCAAATGATTGAACAGTATTCAAGTTGCGAACTAACGTAAGATATCCTCATTATTCACCCTATTTTTGAAATGTTTTAAAAAAAAAATCAAAAAATACATTGTAGTAAAAAGGTTGTATATCTACCACTGACATCACCTAAATTCATAGGTCCAATTACGTGCCTGGCCTGCCTACCAAATTGTCTTTTCTGTATATTAAGGACGGTAAATTTTATCTTGTACCAGGGTGCCAACTACCCCCAGGCATGGCCCTGAACATTCCTTAAATATACTCCCACGTACTCATCGTGAAAGAAAGTTAACGAAATTAAGTTATATACCTTTCTCGGCTCGTAAAAATTCCTATGGCACTTACCTCGAGGACCGCCACCAGATAAGCATCGTTCAGCATCCCTTAGCCGACTATTTTCACCCCCGCTGGCCCATAAATCGCCCCCGATACACGATTGTTTAACAACATTCCCTGTCGGACCTCCCATCGCACTCTAGGTTGCAGTTACACCAGGTGATTCAGCAAAGTGGTAAATCATCGTCCGTTTCGAATCTGTATTACGATCTTTCGGCAAATATTTACTCAAAGGCGATTGTTGGGGCTTGCTTTCTTTTCAAGAGGGATTAGGCCCGCTTGTGACAAGAAGATTTATGTGTGGGGACTTGTTGTGAGCAGCGAGGTGCTGGGGGCGGTGCCAAGGGGTGACCGTAGACTCCTCCTTAAGGGTTAGTTAAGTACCTGAAAATATGAGGGTGTTTCAATTGAGATATGGATTATTGTCAGTTGAATAAGTCGGGTGCCTTAACTCAAACAAGCAAACAAAATTAAGGCTATTATTTATTCCTTTTAAAAAGTACAAAAACTTTGTTATTAAGTCACCTTGCCTTTAAAAAAGGGTTATTTCTAGGTCTAATGAAATAAAAAAGTAAATAAAGTAAAGTAGGTAAAGTAGGCAAAGGAGGTAAAGTCAGTAAAGTAGGTAAAGTAGGAAAGTAGGTAAAGTAGGAAAGTAGGTAAAGTCAGGAAAGTAGGTAAAGTAGGAAAGTAGGTAAAGTAAGTAAAGTAAAGTAAGGAAAGTAAGGACAGTAAGTAAAGTAAGGAAAGTAAGTAAAAGTTAATCGCCCATTTTTATAAACTGATGTATCTTGAAGAAGCCTTAAGTACCATACATATCTGTGTGTAATTGCTGCATTGAATATTTGAATGAGAAAACAAAAAACATGGAATTCGAAGGATTTGTGTATTAAGACGAATTTTTTATATATTTGTTGCATAGTATAACAATTGATATCCTGTTATAAATACCGGTGTTGTTAAAGAACAGTTTTCTATCACTCTGTACCACTCGCAATTCGAAAAGCGCCGGGCATGAAATTAAGTTATTCGATGCCAGAAAAATGCGAGTTTTAAAACGTTGAAAAAGTTGAAATGATTGTCCCCAACGACACAAGAATCGCCGAACTGCACGCTGTTCCTTTTTATGTCGGTTAAAAAAGTCGAGAATTCCCATCGAATTGCGGTTTCATTATTCGCCAGAATAGATTCGGTAAAGGAGGTCGGTAAATCCAATGTTTACACTAGCTATTTCCATGCAAAAAAAGCTAAGTGAAACAATGAATAATTTGCAAAAGTAAGAAATCTAATTTGCGGATGTTATAGACTTTAATTTGTCGCCTTTTTTGTTTTTATTAAGATAAATTAGGTCTTAAATCGGTTGTACCATAAGAAACGACATAGTGCTAATAAACTGTACCAAGCGTATTCGCGCATTTTTTGCTTCGAAACTGATCCGTTTTATATTTTATTCTACCAAGTGTAACAGTCGGATATATTATGGTAAGTTGTAACTTTTTATATTCTCATTTGGAGAGATGATAAAATTTGTTAAAGCAGACTTTCTTCTTTAGGTAATTATTTACAAATATAAAGGGTGTCCCAAAATTCACGTAAGCAGTAATTTTGATAGAAAACACAGGATTTTTATTAAAAATTGCAATTTTTTTATTGATTCATAAAGTATACAGTATAGGGTTATGTCAAGAAGAGCATATCGGGTAAATTAGATACATACACATACGCATCATTTTGGCGTAATTTTCCATTACCGTTGAGTATAAATGCGTCTGATTTTCGTTGATACGGCGTCCAATTAATTTCCTTTCCAACGGTGTTACATCGCATCATCTGGGCCCCAATTCTATCAGCAAAACGGGAAATTACACGACCAGGAAATGATTCGTGCAGTGATTGTATTGTTTCTCGGGCTGTATGGTATGTGGCACCGTCTTGTTGAAACCAAATGTCGTCTACATCCATATCTTGCAATTTAGACTGGATTATCATGTCGCAATAGCGAGCACCATTAGCTGTTGTTGCCTAATCAGCAGCATTTTCGAAGAAGAATGGTTCAATGGTGCCTCCAGACCAAAATCCGCTCCAAACAGTGACCCTCGTGGATTTTCTGAACCCTAGATGTGAAAAGACATTTATTAGGAACATAAATATTTAATGTAACTTAGCGATTAAATATTCATCAACAACTTGTTAAACAATGTAACCATTCAAAGAAATATTTTGTACCTATTTTTTTTTGTTCTCTCATCATTTTTGATAAAAACGAAAACCTAAATAACGACAATAGGGGAAATTTTTGTTTTTACATCGTTTTAAGTGTTTATCTTTATCAAAGATGATCTTTTCCATAGCGTCACAAGCAGTATTCGTATGAACTGAAACGACAAATCATAGTCAAATTAGTCACTGTTTTCATTTAATTGAAATGTCATCTTGAGAATAGACCTTTTTAGTAGTGACGTCACATATGCTAAATAATAGGCAATAATAGTGCCCATTGTTATGAAGAATTTTCCAATATTTTTACTAGATCGATTTTCGACCTTATGTAATTTAGACATAAGTGCCAAAAAAATGTCTTGTTTGTCATGACCCTAAATATCGCGAAATTCTGACAATATTAGAAATATTTAAGAAGTTTCAACCCCCATGTGACAAACTAAAAGAATTATAGAATTTATATATTTAAAATAGAACAATATTGACTTTTATAGTAATTAATAAATTAAAATTATATCAATGTTACTGAGCATGCGCATGAAAGAAAATTTCATGTAAGCGAAGTAGCTTCGCAACAGGAGACATTCAAGAAAAGTTTGGTACTAGTTAAGAGTACGTCTATAATAAACCACTTGAAGAAAAAAAACACTCGATAAACACACTGACACAGCACAACACCAAGAAAAACAATAAAAATACTTAGTAGAACTAGAAAATGCCAAGATTAAACAAAAGAAGAGAAAATACACTAATAATAACAGCGATGAATTTGATTACTGGTTGCCTATATCATTACAATTAGTGAGGTAAATAAACGAAAATTATAAGAATTTCTATACAGGGTGGTCCCGAGGTAATGGGCCAAAATTCATAGGTAGATTCCCCAAGTAAATATATTGCGATTTAGCTGAACTTACCTTAGTCCAAAAGTTGATAGTTAAAGAGATACGGGGTGTTAAATGTAAAATATTATTTCAGTTTTTTTTAATTTATTCCTTAACAAATGCAAATATCCTCACAAAATGTTGAGGATTGGAATTAGTCGAGTAGAGGAATTGAAATCTGTTCACATTTTGGTTAAAGGGCGATAGATGCAGTAGATTGAATGTGTTAAAAGCGACATAACTTTTTTGTACTTTAATGTATCTCATCTTTGATAACAAATTCTTATTTTTCAACTTTTTTACACAAAAAAGGTAACTTTATTAAAGTTGCTATCTCGCACCATTTTCGAGATATTTGGCTTTGAAACTTCCAATGCTGTTGCATTAAATTACAATTAAGTACCTACAGGTATTATTAATTTAGCGGTAAAGTTTCTTAAGTAGAATTTGGACGAAAATCAAATAATTGACGTCCTCCACTTATCTTATTGCTGTTATTTGTATACTAATTTTTATTAAATATTATTCGTATCTAATTAAAATTACATCTTAGCTTACAAATTAAATTTTATACTGGTATACATAAATGTGAGATAGAATGCTGAGGTTTTCGTTTTTGGAGTTACATGAAATCAGTTGTTTATGGAGAAACTATAAACACTTGAGAAGAACTTTAGTAGCAGGTTTTAAATGCTGCAAAGTCATTTCGCATTAAGGATTTATACTTTAAAATAAGACAATCTTTTAATAAACATGTTGCTAAATGTACTGAAATTAGAGGTGGACATTTTGAACAATTATTGTCAAAAGGGCATATTTTTTACTAATGTTTACTATTTTACTATTCATTACAATTTTTAATTCTAAATAAACCCTTGTTTTTGACATTTCTAAATTATTTTAATTATTTCAACTATTAGCACTGGAAGTTTCAAAGCCAAATATCTCAGAAACGGTGCGGGATAGCTACTTTCATAAAGTCTACCTTTTTTGGGTAAAAAAGTTGGAAAATAAGAATTTGATACCAAAGATGAGATACCCTAAAGTACAAAAAAGTTATGTCGTTTCCAACACCTTCAATCTACGGCAACTGGCGCCCTCTATGAACTATAACCAAAATGTGAACAAATTTCAATTCTTCTATCCAAAGAACCCCAAACCTCAAAATTTTGTGTAGATATTTGCATTTATTAAGTAATAAATGGAAATAAACTAAAATAATATTTTATATTTAACACTCTGTATCTCTTTAACTATCAACTTTTGGACTAAGGTAAGTTCAGCTAAATGCAATATTTTAGCTTCGGGAATCTACCCATGAATTTTGGCCCATTACCTCAGGACCAACCTGTAAAGTATACCAAAAAATCGATGTTTCAACGCTCAGAAAATATAAACAACATTTAGTACGGAGACGCGATCAAATTTAATCTAAGTGTCAGCTCTCTTTTGTTTTAACTGCGGTAGTCAAACTACAGTCTAAAACTAGTACTCAACAAACGACCACCATTTTTCTTCACTCTAATACAAATAAGGTATTGGAACAATTGCCTGTGGTTGATTGAGACTATGTAGACATTTATACCATCATTGTCCCTCTTTTTTGCGCGTTTAACAAATGAATTCACGTCCACAACGACTGTCATTGATATTAGCACACACTCGTGACGTAATGGCAATCTTAAAACGGTTAAAACTATTTTCGAAAATTTATTATTAATTGCTGTTTAGCGGGTATTTATCGTATAATTCAATGCTAGTTCAGACAAGTAGTCCCTAGTTGATTTGAACCAAAAATAATTCAATACTGATTTGCACAGACATTTCGAGACTTGTCTTTAAGGTAACAGAGGTAACTTCCTGTAGTATTTATCTATTTTTTCCATTATAAAGGATGGGCGGGGAACTGAATAAGTCGGAACAAAATGCTGACAAAGGCCCAAAGGGCCAACACATTAGCACAGACGCCCTGAAAGGAATTTCTCCGTCAGTTAACTGTGGCGTTCGATAACAATTATAAACAGCTTTCTCGCAGAGTCCGATAAATGTCTCTCTTTTGTGCCGGGGATCGCGGTGGCGTCTTTTTCAACTGCCAGCCCATCGGGAGGTGAAATATTTACTAGTTTCTTTTGTTGGCGAAATGTAAGGCATTTCCTGACATCTCAATTCACGACCGGCTATTCATTGAGCGGGTGATGGTAGGACGGCGCTTTTCTCATTCATAGAGGACCCACCGCGCTCTCTAGGCCTCGCTTTGGCCTCCTGCGCGCCAGGTAGCCA